TCTGGGGAACAGTCTCTGATTACAACTGGAACTTAAATGATGCTGAGGTGGTTTGCAGACAGTTAAACTGTGGGTCGGCACTAGAGAATCCCCAATTCGGTCACTTTGGTGCAGGAACTGGACAGATTTGGCTCAGTGCTGTGACGTGTTCAGGAAATGAAGGTTCCCTAACTGAATGTCAACACTCAGGATGGGGAAACAACTACTATGGACACCATTATGATGTTGGTGTCATCTGTTCAGGTGACAAACTGTAGATATGGAGCAATGTGAATGTTAATGTGTTTTTTTGTGTGTCACCCGTCTTTTATTTAACTTAACGGATATACAGTGGTCCCACGTTTTAAATTGGTTCACCTTTTGCAGCCTCGCTATTTCGCAGATTCTTTTGTTGTGCGCAATTTTACATGCTTTTTTGTTTTTTTATAGCACATTGTGTTCTGCGTCCTTATAGGCTGTAAACCATTTTCAATCAATCTCCTCTGTTCCGTATCTCCTGTACTGTACAAAATGCTTTCATCTTGTCAAATGTACATAAATCTTCGATCGCTAGCAGTGTAACTCTGAAGTGCTTCAGATAGAGTTTCGATTAGATAAAACTTTATTAATCCCTCGTGTGGGTGCCTCTGGGAAATTCAGCTTTCAGTAACACAGCACCGACAGAAGCTGCACTGTACTGTATGTTTCTAAGTATTTTCCCCAACAAACACAAACTATTGATTCATTAATGTTGAATTCTCTTGCAGCTGCTCTATTCCCATGTTCTACTGCGTCACTGATAGAGTTTGAAATCCACTTCGTATGTTTCTTAAAAGGTGCCATTTTGGGGTCCTTATACAAATACAATATGGCAATATTATGTCGAAGCACGGTATGTATTACTCCATGAGGCTCCTGACTATGGTAGCCGTAATGCAGTTTGTCAAACAATCCATCAAGCGTTGCGTAGCTTACCAAAGTCGTAGTAAAACATTTTGACAGATTTCTGAGCACCATGTACCACATAAAGTCAGTTTGAGGTCAGTAAGCACAACCAGAATACATACTTAAGGTGCACTGGATTACAAGGCGCACTGTCGATTTTTGATCTTTGGTTTAATTCTATACTTTTTATTTATTTATTTATTTATTTATTTATTTACTTATTTTTCTATGAAGGTTTGAACTTTGAGAGTGTTTAAGCAAGAGAGAAAAACGTTAAAATGTTCATGCCTGTCTTAGAAAAGTGTGTAGTGAGGGGTTTTACAGCCTTAAAACATGTATAATAATTGAAAAAAAATGAAGCTGACTATTTCACAGATTTCACCTATCGACCACCTATTTAGAACGTAACTCCCGCGGTAAACCAGGGACCACTGTATATTAAAATATATTTAGTGTCATGTCTTTTACCTAAAAGGTATGATCAGATTAGCTGGATCAACTGAGTGCTCTAGTAGAGTTGATGTTTATCACAATAACATCTGGGGAACAATGTGTGATGATGGCTGGGACTATCCCGGGACACACTATGTGCTGTACAGGCCACTACCATTATTATTTTTTTTAACGGGTGGACGTAGTTTGTCTGAAATTATTTTTAGGTGGAACAGATATCTTAAATTAACATCCACAAAATTACCAGAATTGAAGCTCTCCCAACAGAACATAATATTATATTTCAAAAACATGACCAGTGCAGGGAGTACAAAGGGACTATTACAGTTAGCTGTGTTTTATCCCCTTTGGGTTTGCATCAGCAAGGTCATTCAGCACAAACCTATGCCAAGCCAAACATGCTCAGCTACCCACTTTGGCATTTGTAATATTGACAGTTGACAATGTTTGTTTGTTTTTTTCAGCGTGCGGCAGGGCTGTGGAAAACTCAGGAAGTGGGCCCTGGCAGGTCAGTATAAACCACAATGGACAGTTTTGGTGTGGAGGGTCCCTAATTACCAACCAGTGGGTGCTAACAGCTGCTTCCTGCATATCACAGTGAGTCGATGTTGCCATTTTACAGTTTTGGTGATGATGATCTTATACATGACTTTTACTCCTCTGTTTACATTTACTTTAAGATTTTTTCCACAACAGGTTATGGTTTTGCTTATTCCCTGAGAGCAGGAGGTTTTTAAGGTCGTACAAAATTTAACTTACAAAATAAGATTTCCAGAATTATTTTTAGGGCAACAAAAAGCTCTGGGCCCTCACTGTAAGCAGCACATTATGTTTTCTCTACTGTGATGGATTGAAGCTCAGGTGTAACTGCTGTCCAAATGCTTAGGGTTAGTTAGGGTTATTAATAAATCCCGACACACACACAAACACGCACCACAAACACACACAGAAAAATGCCTTAAAAATAATTAAAGTACTTAAACAAAATTATTTAATTATGAACTGTCCATTATCAAGATCACATGAATGTTTATGAGTATCTCGTTTGAACTGTGATATTCACCAATAATTTTTTATTAAATTAAATTTAGTAACCTGACAGAGGTACATCTAAGCTGCCACACCCAGTCAGATTTAACCTCCGGCGAAGTGTCTCTGACAGTGGAAGATATCATCTGTCATCCTGCATTCAACAACAGCACGTATGAGAACAACATTTGTCTTCTGAAGCTGTTGGCTCCTGTGACTTTCACAGACTACATTCAGCCAATCTGCTTAGCCTCACAAAACAGCACTTTCTACAATGGGACCAGCAGCTGGGTCACTGATTTTAGTAAAACTGGTAAGTTACTTAACATTAATTTTACATAATAGGAATGTACAGGATTTTTTTTAACTCTTCTATTTTACTTTTTACAATTAGGTAACAGTTCCTTCCCAAAGATCCTGCAGGAGGTAAATGCACCAGTGGTGGGAAACAATGAGTGCCAGTGCTACTATAAAGGTGACAAAGCAATCACAGAGAACATGATCTGTGCTGTGCTTCAAGCAAGGAAAGATTCATGTCAGGTGACCCCTACTATTTATTTGTACTGTCATGCCTTGTTAAGTGCTATAAGAATTATGTATCACTTTCACACCGGATTATTATTTTTCTTGTTATTGTATCAAATTCACTGATATTATAGACTGTTGGCTTTCTTGACTCAACCAAGATGACTTATTACTCATTCATTTGAGTTTCAGCAAGGCTGGATACATCTGTAGCATAGAAAATACCTTCCAAAAACTACTGGGAAAATTTCTATGAGTGACATAATGTTAGTAAAAGAACTTCAGTTCAGCTTAGTTCAATGTGTCAACCAGATAAAGAGGCTTTAAAAGTACGTCTCAATTGAGACTGTTCAGTGTCTGCTTAGTTTTTCAGCACTGGAAGCAGCCTCTTGGTCAAAAGTAACCAAATCTTCAATATATTTTTGATTAGCATGCTAGCCATTAAGGTACAGCATACAGAACCGGTTCATACTTAAAGACTGATGTACTGATGTAGGCTGACAGTTTCATCTTGTTTACTGTCTTTGTGACAGTCAAACCCAATTACAGACCCATTGACAGAACAATAGTTCAGGAGTCAGATGAAGTGAATTTTTTTTTTTTTTTTTCATAATTCTCAGTGCGGTAAGCAAATGACATATTAGTTTGATGTTTACATGCTTCGGCAGGATCAACACAGAGATATATACATTATATATCTACAAGATATCACTATGTCTTAACAACTTTAAATAAATAAATTAATTAATTAAAAAAAAAAAAAATTTTCACAGGGAAACCCAGGAGGACCTTTAATGACAAAGACAGGATTTGCATGGGTCCAGAGTGGAGTTGTGAGTACTGATAATGGCTGCGCCCAACCTGTGAGACCTGCAGTCTTCACTCGTGTGTCGGAGTACCAGAACTGGATCAATGACACCGTCACTGGAATGAAACCAAACTTTGTTACCTTCACCTCCCTGGGCACTGACACTGACTTATACTTCACCTGTCCAACACTGTCACCTCCCACTGTCCCCACCACTTCCTCCACAGATGACAGTGTGTTTGACAGTGGTGAAAACCTGACCCACTTCACTCACTTTGCCCCACTCTGTCTTTTTGCTGTCTTGCTCCATGTAGTTGTTACAAGTAGTGGAATGTAAGTCAACATATTTGCCTAAGTCTTGTACTTGAATACACACTTTAAATACTCTAAACACTTTGAATTTACTTTGCTTTCATGGGATTTTATGAATTTGAGGTGAATCGGGTTATATTCATAGAACAATCATTAAATATTTTGACCTCTTTTTTTTTTTTTTTCATTTGAAGATGCTAAATATGTTGTTGTTCCAGTTTCTCAAATATGGTGATTTAGTGGACTTCCTTACTTAGTTACTTTAAACTTTTGATTATATCAATACTTTTTAATCATTTTTTTCAAGTTTTGACTAATGGACAAATTGAGAATGTGAAGGTGTTATTGACTTTTGTGATTGTTTTTAACAAATCAGACCATGTTTTTAGTAATTATGGGAAGTGAAAGTATAGAATATTGTTATCACACATGGGGCTATTTCTGTGTTTTGGGCAAAATCTCATGTAAGTTGATGGAAATCTTAAATCTTGTTTTATGAGGACATTTTTTTGGTATAACAATATCTTTATTGATTAAAACATGCATAAGAAGATTTGATGTTCATATATTCTTTAATTCTGTTTATAACATTTGTATACAGCAGAATAGTCTGCAACACTTACAGACTGTCATCTTGACTGCTGCTCAACTGGTAGAACCACAACACAAAAAAAAATGTACATCTGAGCATTATTTTTACATCAGTTGTGGTTGTAGGTTGGTGTAGACAGAGCTGTGCCAACCTACCCCTGGCCATACAGTGCTTGTTCCGGCCTTCCTTTGCTGTGACCACACCGCTGGACAAAAGATGACGGTGACAAAAAACGCATTTAACAATGCGACCATGTGGCTATTTTTGAACTGTGAATGAGGTGAAAGAAGAAAATGCTCAGCGATCGTCACCTTGCTGGTGTTGCTGGTGTTTGGTCTAGTGTAAAATTTCATTTAACCCTACAATTGTGTTTATCCCCCACCCCTTACTTTAATGTTCCCAGTCAAAATTAGAATTAAAATAAAATAAAAATAAGTTGTAAATCAGACAGATTTGCTCTGAACGCGACTGGAAGGTTAATTTTAATTAGTGTTTAAGTAATTTGAATTAGTGTGTAACATCAGGTATTTTACAGTAATACGTGATTAGTGATTATGGGAACATGTATAATTAAAAAAAATGTTATTAAAACGTATTACTTTTAAGTAAATCATTAAATGTATTTATTTTATTTTTTTTTAAATTTCACCCTCTTGCACTGTAAATGGACTGAACTTTTAAGGGTCTGGCTGCATTATTTAGGCCTTTTAATTTTTTTATTATGCATTGTATTCATTGCAGCATTATCTTCCACTATTTAATTGTCCGCTTATATTAGATATAAAAATGCGATGAGGGGCATTCTCACTTTCTTACATAGAATGAAAAGTAAACACCAGCATACACTGCAGGTGACCATATAACTATGTGACACCAATTTATTATTATTACATTACATCTACAATAATAAAAAAATTTATTATTATTTTTTTATTATTGTAGATGATTTTCCAATTAGAGTTACGCTGGCCCTGATAGTTCAAACACAGTGTCATTTTAAAAAAAAAATCACAAGTAAATAGAAAAACACACACACACACACAAAAGACAGCCAAATTTGAATAAAACACAACGGAAATGGAAAAGTATTCCTGAAGCAGTAGATAAGCAGTATCTCCAGCCCTGCCTGATGCCTCTCATAAAAGGGAACACCTTTGTGGTACTTTTAATTTTATGATATTCCAAATGTTTTCATTTGCTGGTCTGGTCTGGCCTGACTGCAAGCAGGCCATTTCAAAACCCAGACTCTTCTACTGTAAAGCATGCTGTCATAATAGATGCAGTATGTGATTTAGCATTGTCTTGCTGAAATATGTAAGGCCTTCTCTCAAAAAGATATAATCTTGGAGGGATCATGTTTTAAAATCTAATACCCAAGCTTGTGTTGTAAACACACAAAACAAAACCCACAAACCTGAGGGTGGAAGGGCAGCATTTGTAAGTTAGTCAGCCTTGAGACCATGGTTCACTTATTGTTTTTTACTTGTTACACTACTTTGTTTAGTTTTTAAATGGTAAATGGCCTATATTTGTATAGTGCTTTACTTGGTCCCTAAGGAGCCCAAAGCACTTTACACTACATTCAGTCATCCACCCATTCACACACACATTCACACACTGGTGATGGCAAGCTACATTGTAGCCACAGCTGCCCTGGGGCGCACTGACAGAGGTGCTCCAGGGCAGCTGTGTTGCATCGTGCCTTCAGTTTTAATTCAGTTAGGTTTAGACATAAACTACTTTGACCTGTCCGGGGTGTACCCCACCTCTCGCCCTATGACAGCTGGGATAGGCTCCAGCGCCCCCCGCGACCCTGAAAAGGATAAGCGGAAGCAAATGGATGGATGGATGGATGGATAAACGACTTTGTTTACGTTAAACAAACACTGCCCTACCTTCCTGCATCGTATATATACACTCAATAAAAATCTAAACACAACACTTTTGTTTTTGCTCCCATTTTTCATGAGCTGAACTAAAACATCTGAAAAATTTTCTACATACAAACAACCCGTGACTCTCAAAAATTGTTCTCAAATCTGTCTTAATCTGTGTTAGTGAGCACTTCTCCTTTGCTCTCTTGTTTGCAGATGTAGCAGAATACATTTATTGCAATGTATGAGCTACACACACACACACACACAAAAAAAAACAAAAAAACAAAGCTGATTGGACATGCATTTAAAAAAAGCTCCTGCCTTGACCTTCCTTCCGCGAGCATGCACGCACTCACACACACACGGATGAGAGAGAGAGAGAGAGATCATTAATACACAGGATTGCAGCAGCTTTTGGATTTTCACTCTTTGCTGGCTTTAATATGAGCAGCCACATAAAATTAATTCAATTTTTTTGCCTTTGCTTCAATTTTGAATTTTGCTATATAAATATGCTCAAGAGTCTATCATTTGTTTGACATCCAGCTAAAAATTTGAAAATATATATTTTTAAATCAATAACTTTGCAAATTTAGAGGAAATGTTTTTTGGACAAAAAATGAGTCACGTTTTAAAAACAGTTTGAATAATCTGCGCTGACAGACAGACATTTATGAAGCGCCAGCTATAACACACATGCTTACCGTGTGAAAGGACCGCGGATGTCTTAGAGCAGAGATTGTATCATTTAATTGTATTGTATTGTTGCTTTTCTCTTATGCATAAGCAACACCAGCCTGTCAGAAACGCTGTGTGTGGGTAGAAAATGGTCTGCACCGGCGCTGGTCCTGACGCGAAATGGCGAGGGTGTCACGCTCTGAGGAACGCTTCATATAGGACCGGGTGCTTCCAAAAACAATAGATGGGGGGCCGATAAGTCTGGGGTCGATATACCTGCAGGGCATCACCTTGCTGTGCAAGTTTAAAACAATGAGATTGGGGCATGCAGTTACTGAGCTCCGGTGTAACTAGCCAAGATAGACCTAAGGGTCCGCTGTTGCTGGCTACTTCAGAAAATAGGCGAGACCCTGCTCGACTGGTACATCTGCGGGGCTTTTACCTTCTCGACGAATTACAAAAAGAGCCGATACCACCAACTTTAAACAATAGGTTGGGTCCCCGCTCGACTGGTACACCTGTCGGCTTTTACCTTTTCCTAAGGAATCACAACAATTAAATGATACGCGTGGCGGGCTTTTGCGTTCCTGAAAAATTTCAAACAATTAACCGGCTGTTGAAAAGATGGAGCGGGTCTGTGAGACAGGATTTAGAAGTATCACTGCAGCATTTATTTCTAAAGAACGTGAATGTTATTTGTGACCACCAATTGCATTGAAACTAGTAGACGAAGAACGAAGAAATTCCCGTTTGAACCGTTTTTAAATAAATAAAATGCTTGCATTGCTGCCAGTAGTGGTTTTTGATACGATACACATGCGGTTGCCCGGGGCGGCATCGTGGTGGGGGGACGGCATTACAGGCATCGGCTATAAAAAAAAAATAAAAAAAAAAATTGCTCGTACTCATGCTGCCCCGACATCATGCCAGCGCATTTTGGGAATGTCGTAGGCACCGATTGGTTTTCTATCGCCCATTTGTTGGGAGTAAGGACGCCCTCCGTTTGCGAGGTGCGCCTGCTGCATGCGGCACAGGGAGGAGAGGGCGGGGCGGCAAGGGATTCTCTGGCTGGCTGGAGCAGCATCTAATAACCAACTCGCAAAATAATAAAAATTAAAAACAAACCAACAAACATGAAGACACCAGACATCATGATACAGACGTATAATTTGCGTCGATGTTTTTTCGAAATCCTATACGCGAAACATGAGCGTGAGAGCCCTCAGTGCTCCTGCTTGCTGCTGAAGTCAAAGTAAACTTTATTGTATAAATTTGTTTAACATTTAAACCTATTTTCTGCACATTCCAACACATAAAATAAAAACATTTTTGTGTTTACACTCAGTCTTTCTTTTTCTTTTTTTTTTTTACTTTACCAAATTGACCATCCCAGCCTTGCCATAATGGTCCATTTGATTCACCTTTTATTGTTTATTTTATTTTTCACTTGCTGAATACGGGACAGACTTGACTGGAGGAAAGAGGGGGAGAAAGAAAGAGGGAAAGAGAAACAGCTGAGAAGAGGGACGGGGGAGAAGGGCAAAAAACAA